TAATTTTATATTTTATTATAATTGTATTTTATTATAATTTTGTTTTTAAAAGTAAAACCTTAATATTAAATAAAATAAAAATATAAAAAATTTACTGATATATTTTATTTACTGTTATATTTTTATTTTGTACTTTATTAAATATTTTTACTAAATATGTAAATTTCATATTTTATCAAGTTTGTTAATGTTTTGTTATTTAATATTATTTTAATTTGAAGAAAATAATATATAATAAATATTATAATAATAATATAAAATATAGTTATTTCAAAATATATACTTTTCCAGACTGTTTTTGATAATATGTCTATGACTCTATGACCTGTTTTTTGTCATTGGTTTTTTCTGCAGTGTTTCTGCTCTGTTGTGTGTTATGATGACCTGTTCTTCTCTCTCATGTACTCAGAGGCACATTTAGGGATTTAACCCGCTTCACACACGTTGACCGTATGTTGTGTGTGTCGGTTTTTTCCAGCACAATCCGGATCAGTCGGAAAGGATGGCACATGCTTCTCAACTTCTGCTTCCACACGGCCCTGACGTTCGCTGTCTTCGCCGGAGGCATCAACCGAATCAAATACCCCATCATCTGCCAGGCCGTGAGTCTTTCATCTGCGCTCGCATTCTGTCCTTCAATGCATTAAATCGATTATTCATTATAATTCGATGTGTGCATGTTTTTCTGATTGCCTCATGCATACGGTCTCTGACCTTAATGAAAATGCTGTATAGACTTGAATGAATCCGTACAGAGCATCACACATTTGCACTTAAGATGCTGTCGTGCCTTCAGGGGCTTTCAGTGGTGCTTTTGTGGAAACGTGTGTGTTTTTGAGGCTCTGTTCTTGTGAGCGTCACTAAAAAGCTTCGGCCGTTGTGTTGCCCGACTGCATTTCGTCCCACATTATGAACTAAAGATAAAGCAGATGATGTTAAAGCGTGGCTCGGTGGGACGCTGTGCGTTTCTATAAGTGCAGCGGGTTTGTTTATCAGTATAATGTGCTTTATTTGACTCTGAACGCTGCAGGATTCACATGCATCTCTTTGGATTTTGAACCACATTCAGGTCAAGTGAATAAATGAGGGCCAAAGAAACCAAAATTGAAATAGTATTGTAAATTCTAAGAGTAGCATTGAATTGAATAGTAGCATTGTTAATTACACTTGAATTTGATTACTTTCTAATTCTATTCCTTGAGTGTGAATTAGAATTGTTTATCCTTTTTGCTACCTCAATGCGTATTTGAATCAAATTCAGTCATTTATAAAACAAAACCCTGAGTTATACATACGCATGTGACCAACTAACCGTTCTATAACATTATATAACGCTTGCATGTTTTTGAGAGTGCCATGTTTAAACATTGAATCGTCAGTGTCTTATAAATTATTGGATTTAGTTTGAATACAATTTGACATGAAAAACAGGATTATATGCATCTATTAGTTATTAGCCTTAACATCAAAAATTTATACTTGATTTAATTTTCAAAATAATGGATTGTTTATTATTTAATATACAAATCAGCCCTCTGGCCGTATTTTTGACACCCCTGATTATAGAAATTAATACTTTTATTCAGCAAGGATACTTTAAATTGTTCAAAAGTGATGATAAAGACATTTATAATGTTACAAAAGATTACAATTTCAGATAAATGCTGTTCTTTTGAGCTTTCTGTTCATCAAAGAAACCTGAAAAAATTCTACTCAGCTGTTTTCAACATAATAGCTAAAAATTCAGCTTTGAAATCACAGAAATAAATGACATTTTAAAATATATTCACATAGAAAACAGATATTTTAAATAGTAAAATTATTTCAAAATTTTACTGTTTTTGCTGTAATTTGGATCAAATAAATGCAGGCTTGATGAACAGAAGAGACTTCTTTAAAAAACATTAAAAATCTTACTGTTCTAAAACCTTTGGCTGGTAGTGTAGGAGGATTATTCTTATAGATTGAAACAAAAGTGCTTCAGCCAGGATAAAGAATATGAAAAGTGCTCTGAATTGCTGCAGAAAACAGAAAAAAAAATGAGCAACAACAAAAACATGTCGCCGGAGACGGGCTTATTATTGAAAATGCAAACTGATTGTCTGCCAGCAGGAGGCGCTTCTGGAAACTGATTTGTTCAAATGGCTGATTCATTCCCAAATGAATCAAACTGAATCATTGACTCGCTCAGTTTGCTCAAGAACTTGGATTCATTCAATGATGAATCACTGCTGTGTGTCGCTCGTTTGCAGAATTGTGCACAATTTGACAATATTGTGTCTAAACTATAACACAAGATTAACTTCTTGTTTATTGAACTGCTGTATAAAATCAATTTCACATTTGCAGTAATGCAGTTATTTGGGGAAAAACTGCACTTTTGCTTTTGTGATATTGCTAAACTATATTATATGGTATAAATATAAGACAAAACCCCATACAGGGGCATTTTTGCCCTCATATCTCAAATTTTTGGACATATAACTGTATTCTAACAGTAAGTCATCCTGCATCATTTTATTAGCTCTAAAATCAAGCAGGGTTTTTGGCTAGTGTGATTTCACAGTGAAATAAAGACTAAATGTCCCGTTGCTCCTCAAGGTCATCACTGCTCAGGACACAAACGCCGACTTCCACGCAATCGCTCACGTTGTGCTGGTTTGAACATGTTGTTAAGCTCTGGGTTCGTCAGGGATTTTCAGTGTCGCGGCTCAAGGTCGTTCTCAGATTTATATGTATTCGTCTTCATGCGTTTGATCTCAGAGGGCCGGCTCTGATTGGCCTCGGCCGAGTGATGGATGGCGCAGGAAAGTGTAATCTGTGTAATGGGAATCTGCTGTCACTCATTCATTCTCTCCTGATGATATGGATCCGAGTTATTGTTCTCTCTCTCCTGAGTGTTTGTGAACATATGTTGTGTTCACAGCCCCAGACAAACGCAGAGAGAATCTGATTATTCTATTCACTGTCTCTGCAAACACAGCGACTCGTAAGTGGACGAGAGAAATTATATTTAGTCGGGATTCCTGCTGAATATTTGACAGCGCAGCATTTAATTTAGATTACAGATGAATAAAATAAGCACAATGCGACAGCGGAGACGGAAAGCGTATTTAGTGTTATGTTCAGCTGAGTGTGCTTAACATTTATCTGTGTTTCCTTACAGAACTGATATCGGCCTGGCTGATTAACCACATAAATACTGATTCATATTTAATATGCACATTTTTAAGGCTCTAAATGATCAAAGTGTGCTGTTAAAGCTGTCTCACACTCCAATCTCCTGCATGTTTTCTGTTGTCTGATTGATAGTTTAGTGTTTTATCCAGTAAAAGCTCTTTTAGTGTAATTGTACAAGCGTCCAGCTTCAGCTGGAGCTTCTCGTGTCAAATCTTGACTGATTTTGATCAAGTAAAGGTCAGAATAACTGCAGTAATATCTCCAGATGAACTCTTACTGGACTGAAGCAGCTCAGCTTTACTTGATTCTCCATCAATCATGTTTTAGAGTCTCAAATCTGATCCTCGGGATCTTTTGAGGAGCGTTTGTTTCCAGAAGCTTTACTTTCACTGTTCCTCAGCGGAGGAATGATCTTCACAAGCCTCCAGAACATCTCACATCTTCTGAGGAGCCTTTATTTCTTCAGCTCTCAATCACTGCATTATATGTTTGGAGCATTTCAATCTCATTTTACTGAGACAGATTATTAGAGATATAGAGTGACAACTGATATTTAGATCATTTTATGTCAGTATCTGCTCTACTGTTATAAAGATCTCATTGAGTTACATTACAAGCAGCAGAATTTCATCATTAGTATCAGGATCTGCAGCAAATTCATATATTAGTCTCTGAATAATATGTAGCTGCTTTTTCCTCCATTTTCTCACTTTATCAGACTATATGAGCCATAAAAGCCTGATGAACACATGACCATTTGGGATTATTGACATAATCAGTTGTTAACTGCACATACTTGGACAAGAAGTGGCACATAAATGTATTCAATAATGCACAATTTTTTTAAATTTTTTTTTACAATTTAGATGCATATTGGGTAAAATAAGTGTTCATTTTATTTCAAAAACTTCTCACATTTTTCATTAGATCCATCAGGTTAGACATCAGTAATATTTGGTCACGTTTGCTCACATGATGCTTGATATTTTTCATGTGTTCGATTTGATAGATGCCAACCAAAAGCAAAATTATCACCGAACAATGCTGTTAAAGAGGCAATTGTGTTTTTTATTAGCTGTCATCAAGTTTTATTATACACGTGTATTATATATACACTACTGTTCACAGGTTTGCATTTCAATGTTTTTAAAAGAAGTCTCTTCTGCTTACCGAGGTTGTACTTATTTGATCAAAAATACAGTAAAAATTGAAAAATATTATTACAATATAAAATAGCTGTTTTCTATGTGAATATCTGTTAAAATGTAATTGATTTCTGTGATCAAAGCTAGGGCTGTGTGATATGACAGTATATATCGGATGGACGAAATAAAAAGTCTATCGTTTCATATTATGCTCTATCGTTTATTTCGTGGTGTCGCAAAATACATTGTTTACGGTAATATTTTTTCATCATTTGGATGACTGCGATCTTTAGACGCCACCACCGTGAAGGGGAGACAGAACCAGGTGGAGAACAGCTGAAAAAGAAAAAACGTTTGTAACAGTATATTGGATCCAGACTTCGGTCTTAAAGGGGGAGCTGTCCTGTCGTCCTGTCTGCCATTCATATTAATCAAACAACAATGAGAGAAAATATCTCCCTGCTCTTGACTAAATCACTTTTGTAACTTTAATAAGAAGAAATAAAAAAAATAATGTCTGTCTGTCTGTCCGTCTATCCATCCGTCCGTATACCGATCTATCGATCAATCGATAGATAGATAGATAGATAGATAGATATAATTAACACAATGAAGACTAATTAATTTTCACCATGTATGTAGCGTTTCTTATTTATTGTAGTTTTTTGTCCTATTGCTTGCAGTTAGTTTCTTATCCTTATTTCATATCCATCCGTCCGTATACCGATCTATCGATCAATCGATAGATAGATATAATTAACACAATGAAGACTAATTAATTTTCACCATGTATGTAGCGTTTCTTATTTATTGTAGTTTTTTGTCCTATTGCTTGCAGTTAGTTTCTTATCCTTATTTCATCACTGACTGTTTATTTATCTTCAGTGAGCTTGAGTTTTTTTTTTCTTCTCTTTTTAAGCTTGTATTAGTTTGATATTGACATTGGTGACAAGGATTATGAAAACTATAGGGTATCAAAGATTTTAATATCATAAAAACCTTTTTAAAAGAAAAAAACTATATTGTGATATATATAGTTATCGTGATATAAAATTTGTCATATCGTGATATAAGATTTCGGTCATATCGCCCACCCATAATCAATGTTGAAAACAGTTGTGCTGCCCGATATTTCAGTGGAAACCGTGATACATTTTATTTTTCAGGATTCACAGATGGATAGAAAGTTTAAAATAACAGCATTTATTTGAAATAGAAATCTTTTGTAACATCATAAATGTCTTGACTCTCACTTTTGATCAATTTTTACGCTCTTGATAAATCCTACTGACCCTAAATATTTTACCATATATTTTACCATGGTATTTACATGGTCGAAGATGCTGCTGAAACAGTACTTTCTGTCAGTGTTTTTTCTTGATTTGTATCAGTGTGTGTTGCACTTTAACCACTGAACTGTGTGTTTGTGTGTGTGTTTCAGGTCGGTATTGTCTTGCATTACTCGTCTCTGTCCACGATGCTCTGGTTGGGCGTCACGGCACGAAACATCTACAAACAGGTGACCAAAAAACCACAGCAGCCGCAGAACGGAGACCACGCGCCGCCTCACCCCGCCAGATCACCCATGCTGAGGTACGACCCATCCAGCTTTACTCCAGGTTGTTCTCTGGTTTATGACACTTGGGGCCAGTTTTACTAAACGACAAATTAGCGCGAGAGTGCAATTCCAAAACAGCGCTGATGGGAGGGGAAATTTCTGCGGGTGTTTTACTAACAACGCGCAAATTAAAGAACACAGACGCAACATCTCATTTACATATTGACCAACGCAATATACCAAGCGCAGCACAAATTAGTGTAGTTGCAAAAAAAGAATAAAGAAATAAAGAAGCCACAGTACGTTGAAATGCAGCCATTACAAGCGCAAAATAGTTTAAGGCATGCTTTTTTGGGCGTTGAATAATGGCGCAAATACTAGTAATTTGATGAGCGCAAACGTTAGTAAAACGCGTTGCGTGATTCATCAGCCCGATCTCATGGCAATTCGTACATATTTAACGAGGTGGCTAATTCGTACGACCTCACTCGTACAAATTCATACAATTTTTGCTAAATCGTATACGTATTTTACGAGTTGCACAATTCGTATGAATTTGTACGAATAACCTACACCTAACCCCGCCCCTAAACCTACCCGTCACTGGTGTCTATAGGACAATTCATACAAAATCGTACGAGTGAGGTCGTACGAATTAGCCACCTCGTAAAATATGTACGAATTGGCCGTGAGATAGCGTTGGATTCATTTGAATACTCTCCTCCCATAAATTGTGTCTGAAAGGGAAACTCCTACAAATGCATATTCAATAAGGTCAGGCGCAAAAATAACTGTGTCCACGCCTTTTCAGAGCTAATTCATCACTGGCCCTTACAGTGTTGATTTGAACGAATTAGCCTCTCGGCGCTTGAAAAGCCTTCATTTAAATGCCTTGGCTTAATCGATCCGATTGAGCTCGATCCGAACTAAATTTCAAATAGATTGAAAGGGGTGGTTTATTCCTTTTCTAATACGATTGAGAGCGCATGTAAACACTCGATCGGATTGAAAACCGAAACTGAAATGACTGTGCAGAAGCAACACAGCAGTCTATATGTAATATTTATCCAGAAATTGATAAATATTAATTCTGCTCTTTAGTGTAAGAGTATGGTTATTATGTGCAAACAGTGGGAAACTCTATATTTGTGCAGTGTGCGAGTGTAAAAAAAAAAAAAAATCTGATTTGAAGCTGGTGACATATAAATGCGCACATTAACCCGATCACTTTATTTAGCGTTCATGTAAACACTACATTCAGATTCATAAATCGGAATGAATTCAGTCCGATTGAAGCTAAAATTGTGCATGTAAACATATCCAGTGAAGATCCCGCCGGTAAACATGAGAGACCTTCATGTTAACCTTCTGTCAGTGTCAAGCTGATAAGCCCAATCAATCTGTGTTCAGCTGCGGTTTAACATGTGAATTAACCTCCCGCAGAGCGTATTAATGTACGATCACAGAACAGCTTGTGCCTAAATCAATGTGAGCTGAATATAGTCTTCACCTTCGCTCTGGGTGTGTGGAAGCTACCGTTTATACCGCGGTAAATCCGTCACTGACTAGTTTTATAGAAACATTAAGCACAGATTCCATGTTTTATAGTTAAGTGTTGAGTTTAGCTGTTTGCAGATGTTGATCACACAGCATTCTAGGTAATTAACAATTTAGTGGTATATGTACTCTGTCTGTTTTATAATAGTTCTAATTTTTGTATTTTTCATTTTCATTTTGTTTAAAATTTGATTAGTTTTGTTATTTTTCTTTTTTATTCGTTTTTTTGTTGTTGTTGATGTAGTTGTTTTATTAATATTTTACATATGTTTTATTATTAATTTTAATTTCAGTTATTTTAGTACATCAAGTTAAACTAAATTAAAGTGAGTGTGAATTGGTTTGACAACTAGCTGAAATAAGTTTTAAATGTTAAGTGGTTAATTACAATTATAGCTTTTAAAATATTTTATATTGTTTTATATAGTATTTTAAAGTCTATTTTAGTATTATTTAATATTTCATTTTTATTAGTTAGCTTTTTTGTTGTTGATGATGTTGTAGTTGTTATTTTTAAGTATGTCTATATAGTTTTTATTAATTATTTCAGTTGCAGTTATTTTAGTACATCGAGTTTTTTAAAGTTTTTTTTTTATTTCAATTTTTTATATTTATATATGATATTTCATTTAAGGTGACATTTATTTTAATATGTATGTGTTTTAGTGTGTGTGTGTGTGTGTGTGTATGCATATACACACTACATCTTCAAAATAAGTGTAAGATGTTTAAGGTATAAATGTTATGCATATGTATAATATAAAATTATTTTTATAAAATATATACATATATGTGTGTGTGCATACACACACACACACACACACACACACAGGACTTTTCGCCATACTATAGCATAGTGAAGGCAGAACTAACATGTTCCTCAGTTTTTGTGTGCGTGCGTGTGTTTTCTGAGTTTAACGCAGCTTCGTTCAGCTTGTCTGCTTGCTCGTGGTTCTTAATCTGGGATTTTTAGTAGTTCTGAGTGGAGTGCTTGGGTTTGATTGTGCTGAAAGTAGGGCACATGAAAGCCGAGCGCAGACATTGTGTTCTCTGTCAGAAACGCTGTGGCCTGTAAGACGTGAGTCAGACGCTGAGAGCGAGATCTTTATCCAATCTTCAGTCGTCTGACGCAAGGAGAAACTCCATTTACACCCCAATTCACCCTCTTTTCTCCAAACTAATTTGGTTTTTAATCAAAGGATTAAACGGTTTCATGTACATTGCACACTAGTATTCTGTGCTTGTAGAAGAAGTGCATACTGTGCATATTGCATACTGCAGACAATAGTGTATTAAATAAGAGTAGTATGCTATCTGAACGTAGAGCCCTGAAATGGATCAATAGCTCAGTAATGTTGTTTCTCGTCTGTGATGTGCACTTTCAGCGGATTGATTGAAACGTGTTTCTTTTCAGAGCAATTCTGCTGTTTGACTGCAAGCGGCGTGATTGTTTTTCATTTATCTGTCTTCAGAATAATTCTCTCACGCTTCGAGCCTCCTGCGGTTTGTTTTATTTCTTGATTGTTGGTTGGATCAGCACATCTATTTCACGCTCTCATCTCTCTCTCAGACGCAGACAGTTTTCTTATTGCATTTGGGTTTTTAGTCCAATGTAGCTTCAAGTTGCAGCCTCATATAAAGGCTTATGGAACATCATTTAATTTACAATTACTTGTTGTTTGTTACATCCTAGTCACATCAGGTTTGTGTTTTAAGGCAAGACACTACAGGTGAATAGGATTATTGTATTATGCGTTGTTTAAAAATGTTATAACTGAAATGTTGTTTAAATAAGCACTCATTTGCATAAACTTCCAAGAACAGAAGTCTGAACATTCAGCTTAAAATTGTTTTATTTTATTGCCATATTTGATTTAAAGGTTTTTACAGAAGGGATTTTGGATTTCTCATTTTATCACTTCATAAATCAGAAAATACTGTCAACATACAGAAAACAAATACATTTTGTCCATGTTTCAAGGGAATTAAATGTTGTATAAAATCAGAATGTTATATGAGCAAAACTCTCTATAAAAGCCATCAGAATATAGACAGGAATAAAACTGTAAGTTTTGGTGTATGTAAATGTTACTGTGGTGGAGACACTCATTTTGAGAAATTAAATTAAAGATATGTATTGTAATCGAAATCTACAGATGCAAACAGATAAAGTGCAGTAATAAAAATCAAGCAAATTATATATGAACAAACCCTTCAGTAAAACCCTTCAGAATATAGATAGGAATAAAACTGTAAATTTTGTTGTATGTGGGAGCTGCTGAAATGGAAAAAAAAATCTTTAAAGATATGTACTTTAGCTAAAATCTACAGACGAAATGGATGAGTGCAATAAAATCAACACTTAAAAGTGCATTTTATTTATTAAACTTTATTCGAAAAGGGACCATGTACAATTTTAACATAAATGTTTCCATTTCATGCATTGTACCGAATTTAGCCAATGGCTAGTTTTCATCCGCGGTCCCTTTTTGGTTGGTTTCTTTCCACTAGTCTGAAATAATACAAGTTATGAAAACCCTGATCAATGCATGAAAAAAAAAAACCCAATGCTTTTGCCTATAGCGTCTTGCATTTTACATTTGAAATGCATTTGAAATACTTCAAAATACTTTAAAAGCTTTTTAAATGCATCAAAAACAAAACAAATCAGAAATCATATTTTGTGTAAGTTTTGTGTGTTACGGCTACCTGCAGTTTTTGTTCTGCTATTATAGTCCCCTTTTTTCAGCCCGTTACTCATCAGATCCTGTGTAAACACTGCGGGTATAATGAAGGTCGCAGACGCAGCGGTGCATCTGTAATTTAACTGAGCTGAGAGTCACGGCGCACCGATCGTTTCACCTTCATTTTGTTTCAACATCAGCTAAAGTGCTGATATCTGATTGCATGAGTCGTTTGCGCTGTAATAAGTCCATCTGTATGGAACAGTTTGACCCATTCATGCCAATTTGTGGGACTGGTGGTGATCATGATCCTGGAGCTCATTCCTCTTCTTACGTGATTGTTTTTGCCTTATTGCACCGTTTTCATCCACATGTTATGATCCCAGTGACAAGTATTGCGTGTATTTCTGTGAAAGTGCTAAAGTTTCTCATGCTTTTAGTGGCTGAACGTCTGTTATAGTTGGATGATTAAACAGCTCTGGTTTAGCGTTTCTTGTCATTCTTGTTGTTTTGCTCCATATAAACAATTCTTTACAGATAGTTGCATCACATCTGTGTATTAGATGAAAGAGTAATATTTGTACAATAAGGTTGAATTTGTTAACATTAGTTTTTAATGTTAATTTCAACTTTTACCAATACATTATTAAAATCAAAAGTTGTATCTGTTAATATTTTTTTAATGGATCTGAGCTGACATGAACTAACAATGAACAGCTGATGTGACAAATGTGTTTATCATTGTTAGTCAATATCAGTTAATGAATTAACCATCATTAAGTAATAGGACCTTATTTTAAAGTGTTCCCAAAATTACATAGCATGTGGTTTTATCACTCTAGTCTCATTTGAACACAAGCCATAAAGTCATATATATAAAGTAACAAAATTAGCACATTGTGATAAAAAAAAAAAAAAATTATTGCCTACTCTGAAGACTTCCATTGTATGTTGATTATTTGTTTTACATTCACTCGTTTTGCTGACCATTTTTATCACTTTTATTAATGGCAAAATATGTCATAAGTGATTCACCCTTTAAGATGTGCTGCAGTAGAAATACATTTATTCAGCAGGGATGCATTAAATTGATCAAAAGTGTCAGTAAAGATATTTATAACATTACCAAAGATTTCTATTTCAAATAAATGCTGTTCTTTTAACTTTCTTTTCATCTGTGAATCCTGAAAGATACTGTATCACGGTTTCCACAAAAATATTGTGCAGCACAACTGTTTTCAACATTGATAATAATCAGAAATGTTTCTTGAGCAGCAAATCAGCATATTAGAATAATTTCTGAAGATCATGTGACACTGAAGACTGGAGTAATGATTCAATTCAATTCAAGTTTATCTGTATAGCGCTTTTCATGATACAAATCGTTGCAAAGCAGCTTTACAGAAAAT